CTTGGGTCATCGGGTGCCAAAGCCAGGCAGCTGCAGGGGGATGGAGGTGGTGGCCGGCTAGGATGGTTGTCCTGGGATTTCCGCTGTGGTGCCGCTTCTGAAGGGCACCGGGTGATGAGGATGGACCTGCTGCTCTTCAGCCCCTGGGGGATCTGCTGCTCCGGGTGGTGGGAGCTGCTGCTCTCCGGCCTCAGAGCCTGGGCTTCCCCGCTGCAGCTGGGGAGGGGACACGGCCAAGGTCACCCAGCAGCAGTGCTGGAGGTGGCATCAAGCAGTCAGCATTTCCGAAAGCCCTGACGAGGTGGTTAAGTGCTGATCAGCTCCTCTTTTATACCCGCTGGTGTGGAAGCAGCATGAAAGTAGTTCCCTTTTGGGGGCCAGAATTGGTTCGCTTTCAAGGTGAGCAAAAGTCAGCTTCTACCCAAGGTCACAAGGCTTGGCCTTCACGTGAAAGGCCTTGCTTTTCCTCGGGCTCCCTTTTAACCCCCAAAAATGGATCTGGGAGGACTCCAGGGTGCTGAGGCCCCTTTTCCTGGAAAATTTCTCCAAACCAATCCTTCCCCATTGAGGTTTAAGAAGAATTAAGTTGTCATTGGGCATGGGCAGGTGGTGGAGTGGACAGTGGCTCCTTGCTCTGCTGCTCCCTCCAGCTTCTCCTGTGACCTGCTTTGAGCTCCTCAAGCTTCCATGGGACTGTCCAGATTTAGCTAGGACAAGAAGGACCAGAAGAGCAATTTTGGGAATTTTCAAGTTGGGCATCAGCAAAGACTGGGTCACCCTCTGGAGGGCAATGGGCTCCATTGCTGCCCAGGACATGGCTGTGCCAGCAGCCTTGCTGCACCATGTGCACCAGGGGGGTTCCTTGAACGTCCAGAGGAACCTTCTGGAGATGATGCAGCAATGAGCTGTGAAGCTTTAGAATGGGGAGAAGTGGTAGAGATGCTCCAAGTTTTCTGTGGAGATGTTTTGGGCAATATATCTTGCTTTCTGGCTTAGGGAGGTTGGTATTTACAAGAAGAAATTGGAGAAAGGAAGTTTTATTAAACTTCCTTTGCTCAGATGCTCAAGACTGAGACCTCCAGGTGCCCCTGGAGAAACCTTCCAGGTGTCACCAACAGAACGGGGCCTTCACGGCTGCCCCCATTCCAGAGCCCCTCCTGCCCCACGTGCTGCTCTCCTTGCCCCCTACACTGCCCCTGTTGCCCCATGTGCCACCCTACCCTGCCCTCCGGAGCACCCACAGCCCCACACTGACATCCAACTTGCACATCCCCATGCCGGTGCAATGGCCCCTCGGTGACACTGGACCGAGAAGCCCCTGGTGCTGGCTGGGGTGTCACGACCCCCTGGCCCCACCGTGACTCTGTGCCCTGGGCAGCACCATGGCTATTCCTGGCCCTCTTCTAGGGTTTCATTAGGAGTGCGTGGCTTTCTTGGCACCCAGCTGGGAGGTGGGACTGGGCCACGGATGGACCCGAACGCTGAAGTGCGCGGCAGCAAAATGAGCCCTCCGGAGCAATTAGCTCAGTTAATTAGCTGGGAGCAGCTAAAGCAGCGCGGCCTGAAGACACAGCGGTGCTGGCAGCAGCTCCCTGGAGCCTCCAGCCCCCAGGTCGGTTTTCACAACACTTGCAGTCCCCGCTGTGCCCTGCGCCAACACTCGGTGCTTGCGGAGCTGCTTGGGCACCGCGCGCGCGGGCTGCAGCCTCCTCCCGACCACAGGGATCAGCGCCCATTGCCAGCCCCGCTCCTGAGCAAAGCTGCCCGCCAAAGAGGGCCCCTCTCCCTCTCCCTGCTTTGACTACGGCCAAGACCATGGTGCAAGAAGTTGTCGTGGTCCATGCTGTAGTGGCAAGGTGTTAAAGTCAAGGCCCGGCCATGCACGCTGGATTTTAGCAGGACTTTATGGACTGCTTTTCCCAGCAAGTCACGCTGTTTTGGTAGCACCAAGTGGTGGCTGACGCCTCCCCTTGGAGAGCGGCATTTCTCCCAGGCATGTGGGGCCACCAAGCTGCAGGGCTCCGAGACCATGTGCCGTGCGGGGATGCCCGTGGTGCATTCCCGTGTCCTGGCCGAGGCCCACATGGGTGCCAGCTTTGGCAAGAACACAGATGTCAGCTTGGTGCCCTGTCTTTGCAGGCCCTTCCAGACCCTCTCCAGATCTTGACCGCTCCTCACATCCCTCCGGGGACATTTTCTACCAGCGCCTCTCTGCCCTCCTTAACCCGGGTCCAGCTGCTGCTCAGCCCTGCTGAGCTGCCTTCCTTTTAAGAAAACAGCTGATGCCTGCAGAGCTTTTTCAGGACATTATGCAAACAAATCGAAGGTGATTTCGTGGGCTGCGCTCTCCCGGCAAGGGGCTGTGCGCTGGCAAAGTCATCGCGGGGCTTCGCTGCGTTTGAAGAGCTCCAGCGCGTCCTTCACCGCTCTGGTGCCAGCAAAAGTCCTTAAAGCAGGAAAGGGCCAGGAGGGCCATTTATTTCACCTATATTCTCAGTGGCACAGAAATACAGGTCAGTTCGTTATGGGAGTGTTGCAAAAACCTCCTTCTTCTGCATTAAACTGGAAATCCCCCAGGTTTGCTAAGCTCAGCTCTTCCCTCCCGGCTTGCGCGGCTGCGTTTGCTCCGGCAGCTTGGCCCGTGCTTGGCAAACTGCAGGGCTGCGATGGCGGGTGTCCCGCTCCTCCTGCCACTGCCCCACCGCAGGAAAACCCTCCAGCGGGACGATGGGGCGGCTGCGTTTCCAGCAACGCGGCGGCGTGTCGGAGTTCGCAATTGCGATTTTGTGGCGTGACTTTATACGCTGAGACACTCCGTTGCGGAGCCGCTGGCAGGGTGGGCGCCCTTGGGGGGCTCTGCCGCGACGCAGCAGCTTATCGCACCCCAAAGGTTGTCTGCTGGCCACCCGGGCTCTGCTCTGCGCCTGCAGCTTTGCAAAGCTCCTGGTTTTGCTCCTGTTTGCAGAGCTCCCGTTTGCCCAGGGCACTGAGGCTGGGACACGGCCGCTCGCCACGCAGAAGGGATGGCTGGTGAGTTGGCACCTGCGGATCCTGCAAAGGACCTCGAGCAAGTCCCCGGCTGAGGGCAGAGCAGGTTGTGGGTGCCCAGGGCATCGCTGGCAGCGAGGGTGGGAGTCTGGTGTAAAAATGAGACGTCCGTGTGAGCAAGAGCGCCGTGATGCTGGCTCTAGAGCCCAGGAGGAGGGCTGGTGGTGCAAAGGGCTGTGCGGGGAGGAAGGCTGCACCAACCTTCCCCCGTCTGTCATGCCTGTGCCCTGGAGACCAGATGGAGTTTGGAAACGTTTGCACTGATCATGATTAACCTTCAGAGGAGCCAGGCAAAGCTCAGTAGCTGCAGGGCGTTGAGAGTGCTTATTAAGCTGATCCTCCCAACTTAGCCCTGCTCTGTTTGCGGCTGAATTACAGGAGGTGCCAACAGCCAGTGATGCCCCTTCTGACTCCTCCACTCCATGAGGGTGGTTGTGTCCATGGTTCGGAGGCGGGAGGAGGTGGTTGAACTTGGAGAGCCACCAGTGGGCCTGGGTGCAGGGTTAGGGCATGCCGTGGTGGGCAGGGGAAGGGGAGGCTGTTCTCATCATTGCTGGTGTCTTTTCCCATCCTAAAGGATTTGGAGACATTCGAAGACCATTTGTGGGATTTAGGTGCCATTTGCCCTTTGGGCTATGGTGCTTTTTTGCTGTTGCTTGCATGGAACTCGCCAGGTTGGATGCCCAGGGCCAGCATGGCCACGGTAGCTCGTGCATTGGCCATGAGCCCAATCACAGGGCTTTCAGACCCCACGTGCATCCGCAGCCCGAGAAACTGTGATGTCTGCTCTGGGCACATGCACGGTGGCATCACGATGGTCACCTAACCCCTGCCGTGTCCCTGGCACCGAGTTGGGCTCCCGCGCGGGCTGCTCTTGTCCCCATGCGCAGCCGTGAAGCCCAGCAGTAATTACCTTCCCGGGGCCCGGCGACACCGGCCATGGGAATTTTTCCAGGGAGCCGCGCTGAGCTCGGGCTCATCCGTCTTGCTCCTGTCAAGCCTCCGCCGCGGCCAGCTCAGCTCCTGCTGCTGACAGCCACCCAAAGGCGTGATGAACGCGCTCGGCGCCGCCGCTTTGTCCCCTTGCTGTAACTGCTAACCTGCCGCCTGCCGCAATGAATTCTCGCCGCCGGCTTATTCCCTTTGGACGGCACCAAATTCCAACAAACAGCAGCCCTTTGACTGCTGTCAGCGTGAAGTGAAGCTGGCGCTCCCGGCGGGCTGGCACTCCAGCGGCAATGGGAATGGATCAGTCAGCTGGTCCTGAGCGGCTCCGGTCCCCACCGATCTGCCTTCTGCTTGGGCAGCGGGATGGTTTTGGTCCTGTCCATCCCCGGCCTCGTGGGCTGGGGGAGAGCAGCACCCTGCGGCCTTCGAACCTTCGATAAGCTGGGCTGAGGGATGCAAGTTGTCTGCATGTGCCCGTGCGCATGCTGACGCGTGTGTGTGACTGACCCAACGGGAAGCGTGTGAGGTTGGAAAGAGTTTCCAGGAAGATACTGAGATGTTGGTGCCCCAGTTGGTCTCTCGCAGCCTCCGCCTGCACCCATGTCATGGGGGCACTGCTAGCCATAGCCCAGAGCACTTCCAAGAGGGAGCAGCTGGGATGTTAGCGTGCAGCGGCACGGGGTGAGCTTATGGCCATGCCAAGGCATGGGGTGACAGGGCAGTTGGTGGCTTTGATGGGCAACAGTGGGTCTTGGGAAAGAGAGTTTGATCTGAAACCTGGGTGACGGGAGGTGAGGGTTGAGCCTTGGCTGAACTTCTGAAGAGCTTCCCATGCCTGACTGTTGTTGCTGGTGACATTTCCCAGCGTGTTCTTGATTCTTCGTCAATGCAAAATTGTGGGCTCATACCCTCAAGCGATCAAAATTCATGACCCAAATCTCTCAAACCCTGGAACCACGAGGTTGACCAAAACCATGTCTTTTGGGATTTGCTTCTTTTCGCCTTCCTCTTAACCCGCATCCAAAATGCTTAAGGGCTCATTTGAGCAAGGGAGAAAGAAAGAATTGATGCATCCTGCCATCAGGTGACTCCAGGGGCTGGAAGATTGCGTGCCAGCCCTAAATTCTGAAATTTCAGCCGAGGATGGTGGCTTTGCTTCGCCGTGCTGCTCGCCTGGTGCCGGCGCACACTCCTCGCCCTGCAGCTGATCTGTTGCTCCATCTGGCCAGGGCCAGGTTTGCTCCTGGAGGCGCCGCGTCTTGGGCACCAGCTCTGCTCTCCACCCTGTCTTGCAGACACTGCTCAGCTGGCAAAAAGCAGCAACACTCGGGGATGGCACAGAGACAGCGTCCTCAAACCCGTTGTTTTCTCCTGGGCTGATGGACGCCCATAGTGTTTTCTACCCACCTGTCCCCTCATCTCTCAGTGGTCATCAACTTGCATCAATTGGTGCAGTTTTCCTATCGAGTCCTGATTCTTCATGCCATTGCCCTCTGCCTCCATCGCTGGCAATAAGTTGATCCTAAAGGAGATAGATAACTCCAGTTCTTACTTCCAGTTCGAGATATTCCCTCCTCTCCCGTGATCCCGTATTTCTGGGCATCACCTTGCTTGCTTGCACAGATGATGATCTTTCGTGGTGCAAATCCAGATGTGCTTCACCTCGAGGGGTCCCGAGGCTCCCTGCGCTGAGCTGGATGTGTCCCGGCACGAGGCAGCGACGGGGATTTTGCTCCCAGCGCAGCGTGCGGGAACACGGCAGAGGCACAACCCTGCGCCTGCACGTTGCCTTTTTCCCCGTGCATTGCACGGTCCTGTTTTCTCCCCTTGGTGACACAGTTTTTGGTGCTTTCTGTGACAGATGGCCAGAAACTCTTTTGATCAGCAGTTCAGGGAGAAAAATAACACAGGAGGTGGGTACCGCCGTGGCCCCATTCCCTTGTGCTGGTTTCTGGATGATAACAAAGGTTGGACTCGTGCTTTCTTCCTTCCGAGGGCAGCGAGGATGGATGGCGGAGGGAGGAATCGCATCTCCACCAGCAGCGCTGCTGCCGGGCGAGAGGGGGCCCGTTTCTCCAGGCAGCTCCGTGTGCGGCTGCGGCAGCCCTTGGAGCGGTGCCGGGATCTGCCCGGGGCCCTGCAAGGAGGATGCGCGAGGCGGCGGCGATGCCGCCCTGCGCTGGGGCAGCCTCTTCCCAGTGTGCCCGGGGCTGCTGCTGTATTTTTATTAAGAAGTCAAGTAGCCGTGGAAATCTCAGCTGGGCCTATGGGTTTCAGAGCTTTTTAGAAAAGGCAGTGAAGTGCACGGCACTTGCTGTTAATGGCCGTGACCTTGGGCTGCTCATGGCGTTTGTCTTGTGGGTCTAGTTCGGGTTGGCTTTTTGAGACAAGGATGCTCATCTTCAAGTCCGTTTTTTCCCATGGTTTCCTAAAGCCCGTGCAGGCTGTGCTGGCCATAACCCCTCATCACTGGGCTCCAGTGGGATGAGGGCAGCATAGCCCGGCTCGCTCGGATGAACCCGAGCTGATGGCTTACGGCTCGAATGCACTAGCGAAGGTTATTGTCCCTGTTGGAGTTATTTATGGCATTATTAACAGAATTATCTCTCTGCAGTCTTTCCAGTGCTGGAATATCTGCAGGGGACACAGGGGACGGAGGAGCTGTGGGGGCAGCAGTGTCGGGTTTCTTGTCGAGGGGGGAAAGGGGCTTCCTGCCCTGCCAGGGAGGTCCCTTGCCCCAGCAAGCCCAGCTCTCTCCTCGGTTATTCCCCTGCGGAATATCCTTTCATTCTCCTTAGCCCCCTGGCACTGTTAATTTGCTTGGCTTGCGGCCACCTCTTATCTTTCCTTTGCAAGCTCGTTGCTGACTCTGCTCTGCCTCTTTTTGGAGGAGCCCTATGGGATGGAGGAGTGCAGGGGGTGCTGTCATCCCTCAAGGGTCATCTCCAAAACTGCTGAGAGCTTCTCCCTGTGACACGTCCATGAGCAACCACTGCACAAATGTCCCTGCAGCTCCCTCCTGGCTGGGGCGCCAGGTCAAGGGTCATCTCCAAAACTGCTGAGAACTTCTCCCTGTGACACGTCTATGAGCAACCACCGCACAAATGTCCCTGTAGCTCCCTCCTGGCTGGGGCACCAGTGCCACCAGGCCTGTCCCAGAGGGCTCTGGCAAAGGGCGCTCGGCTCCACAGTGCTCGGAAGGTGGGAAGGAGCCTGGAGCCCTGTGAAGACATGGCACCCAGCTGGCAATGAGCCCGCAGACTTCACCGTCCTGCTGACACTGCCAGAAAGAGGTTAATGATCAGGCAAATGAGATGTCTCACCTTCACATGGCCCCGCAGAGGCTCCAGCATTTTTTGTGCTATGATCTGATAAAAGGGAGGGATAGGATCAGCTCCCACAAGAGGCCATGATGTTGTGCAACCTCATCCGTGCGTGGGGACCAGGAGGGCCAAGTGCCCTTGCGGTCTCCATGGGAGAGGGTTGATGGACACGCGATGCATGTGCTGGTCTGCACCGGCACCTGCGGGCATGGCCGAGGGGCAGCCTCAGGCCCTCGCCTGCTCTTTCCCAGCCTGTGTGTAATCCACATGGATTGCCGGGGTCTGGCTGGAAGAACACCCACAACGGGCAGGTCCGCTGTGCTGGCCGGGTCTTCATCAGTGCTGTCGGTGCAGGAACGGCTTCAAGCTGAGCTCACTGTCCAAGCTGAAAGGGTCACGTGTCCAATGTCCTCATGCCATTCAGGGCAGCTTCTCCCCATCACTTCTTTCTAGCTCATAGAAGAGCCATTGACAAGCAGGGGAGTAGAGCTGTCCCACGTCCACCTCCCTGGGAGCGTGACACCAGGAGCATGCCTCAGGGCACATCACAGTGGTCTAACTCACCCTCTTGATGTACTGCCCTTGCCAGGCATGGGCTTGCTGATGCTCAGTACCCCATCCCACTCATCCTTCCTTGGATGAAAGTGCCCCTTCCCACATGGATTATCCAGGCAAACCTCCTCCTTAGCAGCATCGCGGATGTCTGCAGGAGGCTCCAAGCACCAGGGTCAATGTGTTTCCAAGGAAGGCTGAGACAGGGCTGCTAGAAAGGAGAGGTGGAAAGGGCCGGGAAACCAAACATCATCTTGACTTCCCAGAGCCACGAGGGTACCGAGGAGCCCTGACTCTCATAGCCTTCCTTGCTCTAACAATTAGACTCCACAGCCATGAGAAAGAGATCAAGCACCTAACTGTCACCCTTGCTGTAAATGCAGATGTTGTCCTTGGTGCAGACAGGTGGATATCCTGCAGGATGAGCACAAGGTGACGTTGTGTTTCAGGGAATCCTTGACGCACCATGACGTTCAAGCAAGCCTCCATGATGGCTCCGGAGGCCGTGGCCACCACGATGCCCATGGCAACGATGGAGAACTCCACCGAGGCCGCGGGCCCGGGTGAGAGCAAAGAGGACATGTTCGCCAAGCTGAGGGAGAAGTTCATGAATGAGCTGAACAAGATTCCCTGTGAGTAGCCAGTTCCTTTTCTGGGAGCAGCCTCCGTGGGGAGGCTGACGTGGGGAGGGAGCTGTGAGGCTGACTGGGGCACTGGGTTTTGTCCACAGTGCCACCCTGGGCCCTCATCGCCATTGCTGTGGTGGCTGGGCTGCTTATCCTCACCTGTTGCTTCTGCATCTGCAAGAAGTGCTGCTGCAAGAAGAAGAAGAACAAGAAGGAGAAGGGCAAAGGCATGAAGAATGCCATGAACATGAAGGACATGAAATCGGGGAACCAGGTAATGCTCTTCTTGATGGCTCAGCTGTGTCTCACAGCTGTGGTTTTATAACTATCCTTTTGGTTGAATTATGAACCACACTGAGCCTATTGGTCAGGCAGCATCTGCAGGATGGAGCAATATATCCTCTCCTAATGTGAGGTGTCAGTGTCCTCCCTTCTCTTCCCCAGGGCCACGTGAGCACCCTGCCCATCAGCCGTGATTGCCTCCTGATTTGAGGCTTCCTGGTTTGAGGCTCCTGCTGCTGTCTCTCCCCTTTCAGTTCCCAGTGGCTCAGCCACAGGACCAGCTTCTGGCTGGGCTGGACAGACTGAAAACTGAAGCTGAATCAGTAATACTTAATTTAATACCTTTCTGTGCATTTATTAATTTAATACTTTTGTACTCAGAGATGGTCTCTCATTTCATGAAGCTGAGCCAGGCACTGCTTTTAGGGGAGGGAGGAGAACCATCAGGCCAGAAGTCCCACTTCATTTTGGCATCCCAAGCAAGTAATGATCAAAAGGCATGTGCTGCTCTGAAGAGCAGAGCTGGGACTGTCTCCTTGTCAGAGGAGAGCCAGAAGCGGCAGCTGGAAGAAGGCTTTGATGCCAACAAGTTTGGGATGATCCTGGCCGTTTAGATTCATCAGCTCAGCACAGGGCCATCAGAGGAGGACAGGAGTTCTGGGGAGACTGTTCCTGCTGTTTAGAGCCACGCAGGATGATGTGGACACCATGCACACCCAGGCAGGACCAGACAGATGGGTCTTGAGTAGAGACACTGTGAGGAACCTTCCTCCACCAGACCATCTGCACACTTCCATAGCAGTAGGAGATACAGGGGTGCTTCCCCAAAGGAGATGATGCTGTCTGCTGTCCTCCCCAGCCCCCTTCTGACCTTGGGTCATCACTGTGTCCTGCGGCACACAGCCCACCACCACCCCGGTGCTAGTTGTGGTCCATGTTGCCTGTAACGTCATTCTCTTCCCTCCCTGTGCTCTCGTTGCCCACCTTCTGTGTCGTTCCGTGTTCTCACTGTCCTGGGATGCTCTTCACGGTAGGTGCCATGCTGAATGTCCCCTCTCTACCAGCTCCTCTCAAGGTGGCATCGGGGAGCCGCCAGCTGCAGACATGTCCACGCGCTGAGGACCTGAGCGGTTCCCGCTGCGGGGCCGTTGCTCGAAGGCTGCCAGCACTAAATGCATCCTGGCGTCTGCTCTGGAGTGCCAAGAGGAGGCTCTGCTGAGCGGCTCCTCTGCTTGCCTGCTTTTCCATAGGCTGCTCCGTGCTACCGTCCTGGCTGTGCTGCCTGTCAGCGAAGAGAGGTGGCCTTCTCTCAGATGCAGGAGAATTAGGCTGTATCTTTATTCCTAAGTTAATGATGTCTGAGAATGGCCCTGCTGAGCCACCCGCACAGGCTGTAGCTCTCTCCCTAGTACAAGTCGGGAGTGTCACCCGTTTGGAACAGGTTGTTTGCATGCAGCGGCCCGGTGCAAGGACCAAACCTCCCTGGCTGTGGTTGGCCCCAAGCTCCTGGCACCCCGTGGCATCCCTCTGCCTCCACAGCATCCGTGTGGCTGTGAGCACAACCAGAGCCACCTTGGGCTGCTCCACGGCTGCTTTATTTCCTGCTGGGTCTCCTTGCCCCTCCTGGAGAGGACCCAGGGCCTCTCTGCACAGAGATGCTGAGATGCCAGTCGTGCTGGAGATCCCCAGGGGTGTCCCCGCTCTTGTGGTGTGGGTGTTGGGATGGGCTGTGACCCTCCTGGTGAGGAGCCACTGTACTCGTTGCTCCTGGTTGAGTTGGGCGCTGCTGCTGCTGTTGCAGGACCAACAGGATGACGATGATGCGGAAATGGGCCTGACAGAAGGGGAAGGTGAGGAGGAGGAGAAGGAGCCGGAGAACCTGGGCAAGCTGCAGTTCTCGCTGGACTATGATTTCCAGGCAAACCAGGTGATGAAGGGGAAGTGGGTGCTTAAGGAAATGCAGGAGTGGGGTTTGCCCTGGGTGTGTGGGAAGTTTGAAGAGGAGAAATCTTCCTGTCCCATGAGGACTCAACCATGGTGGCTTGGGAGGGAGCTCAGTGCTGCCCCACAAGACATCCTGCTCCGTCTTGCGCTGGAGGCGACACAGGAGCCGAAGTGGGGTCAGGGAGTTAAGCGCGTAGCTGGGCTGTCTTGCTGAAGACTCCCCTCTTTCTTCCCAGCTGACAGTGGGGATCCTCCAAGCTGCCGAACTGCCAGCTTTGGACATGGGTGGCACCTCGGACCCATACGTCAAGGTGTTCCTGCTCCCTGACAAGAAGAAGAAATATGAGACCAAAGTGCAGAAGAAGACACTCAATCCTGCCTTCAATGAGACCTTCACCTTCAAGGTGAACCCCTTTGTTTCCCACAACATGGGACTACATCTTCTCCATCCTCCCCTTGTTTGTCAGACTTCCCTGTCAGCAAGACATGAGGTGCCAGGCTGCTCCCTGGTCTGAAGTCCTCTGAGCCCATTGCCAGCCTGATGGCTCTTTTTGTGCAGGTCCCCTACCAGGAGCTTGGTGGGAAGACGCTGGTGATGGCCATCTATGACTTTGATCGCTTCTCCAAGCACGACATCATTGGTGAAGTGAAAGTGCCCATGAACACAGTGGACCTGGGCCAGCCCATCGAGGAATGGCGGGACCTGCAGAGTGGTGAGAAGGAGGAGGTGAGAACTGGGCCAGCGTGAGGCCGTCCACTGGCTCCTACCCTTGCCCTGCAGAGCTGAGCTGTGGGGTGACCTTGATCACCAGGCGAATGCTGCTTTCTGGGCCATTCCCACAGGTGCTGTGATGGGACTGGCCTGCCTCAGACCCAAGGGAACAAATTTTGTGGCAGGACATGGGGTGCCCGCTCATGTTGGCCTCACATTTGTGCAGGCTTGAAGGTTAAGCCGGGTTTGGGAGGAGCTGCATGCAGGACTGCGTCCTCCCTCTGCAGTATCATAGCAAAGCTTTGATATCTGCTTCCTGCTCTGCTTGGCAGCCAGAGAAGCTTGGGGATATTTGCATCTCCCTCCGGTACGTGCCCACTGCTGGGAAACTCACTGTCTGCATCCTGGAGGCCAAGAACCTGAAGAAGATGGACGTTGGGGGTCTCTCAGGTGAGTGCAGACTCGGGGTCACCCCGCTGCTGGGAGCATGAGCCCTCGTGCCCCACCGTGGTGCTCGCAGCACCCTTTGCTAAGGGAGGACCTGGGTAACATCGATGGGAAGGGCTTAGGGCAGCTGTCTCCAGAGCCTGAGGCCTCCGGAGTCGGCGGGAGCTGAAGGTCTGGTTGGGGCTATGGGGTGAGGAGAGAAGAGGTGGTGGGATGAACCTGCTGTCCCTTCAGAAGGATGAACTGAGTGGGGTCTGCTGGTATGCATGGGAGGAGGATGGCACAGGAGCTGGGTGCTAAATGGCTATTCTGCCATTTGCTGCTGGTCCCATTCTTCTTGCCTTGGGGCTGTGGACAGAAGTAAGGGGCAACCCAAGTCAGTGGCATGTTTTATGTCAGAAGAGGCATCTCAAATCCATTGCAGGCTGAAATCTTTCACCAGGAGTCCTCATCTCTTTCCAGGCCTGGCTTAACCACAAGAATGGCAGTATTTGCATGACCAGGAAGGTTTAGCTTTATTGCTGGGGGTCCTACACTGGAAATGGTGAAGGGATGATAGGCAGAATGTAGGCCAGCACCCATCAGTCTCACTCCATCACCTCCAGACCTCCTACATGGAGGCCCACAGTCCTTGGGATACAGAAGAGCCCCATTCCTTGGCCAGTTGCTCCTGTAAATGCTCTCCAGCCCAAATATTTAGGTTTTGGTCTCAGACACCAGCCTTAGACACCTTTATCTGCCAGACAGCAGGGCCTGGGAGGTGCCCAGAGTCAAGGAAAGAGAAGGACTTTGCTTACCCCACTGTTGTGAGAGCTAGTCAGGGTTCCTTCCCTCACAGTGAATCTTGTCCCGGGCTAGAACATGTCCCAGATCATCCCGTGGGCACCTCAGCCCTGACTGACACACCTCCCCACTCCCCCAGATCCCTACGTGAAGATCCATCTGCTGCAGAATGGCAAGAGGTTGAAGAAGAAGAAGACTACAGTCAAGAAGAAGACTTTAAACCCCTACTTCAATGAGTCTTTCAGCTTCGAGATCCCCTTCGAGCAGATACAGGTTCATATGCTGAATTTATTGGGGGATGATGGGGGTAGAGAGCACCTGGCTGGTCCCATGGCTGCCCTGAGCACCTCTTGCTGTGGGGGCTTCCTGAGGTCTGGCAGGACACCGGCCACTTCTTAGCATCGGGGTGCCCTGTGGATCTCCTGATCCGGCCACCCATAGAATACAGCTGGTCTCAGCCTGACCTGGGGCAGATGCTGAGGGCGGTTGGGGCAGAGATGGGGTACCAGCCATGGGAGAAGCAATCCCAGATGCAGGCCCCAGCTCGTGGCTGGAATGGAGCTTTCCTCTGCTGCTCTTTCCGCAGTGCCCAGCGCTGAGCAGCAGGGACCTGGGGTGGCCCCGGGGGTGTTTTGGACATTTGGTATGAGCCCAAGCTCCGTGCACAGTGGTTCCCCTGCACACGTGTTGGGTGTCCCGTGCTCAGCAACCCTCTGCCAGCCCCTCCATGGTCCATCTCAGCCTCTGCACTTGCCTCTCGGCCCAGCCCAGCCTCAGCCAGGCAGCATAGCCCATGGCTTGTTCCCTGTCCCACGCTGTCCCTTGGGCCCCTTTCCCAGGTGGCCATGTCAGGATGAGCAGGGTCCAGCTGTGGCTGGAAGGAAGCTGAGGTCACTGTGGACATGGAGGGGACCCTGTCCCCAGTGGGGGTCGTGGGGGGCTCCATGTTTCAGCATTCCTGGGACACTCCTCAGAGCTGCCCCAGGGCCTGGGCCAGGCCTTGGAGGCAGCGCAGAGGCTGTGGAGCAAACCCGGCTCTGTGCCTTTCCGAACCTCTAAACCTCGGCTTCCTCTTCAGAAAGTGCAGGTCGTCATCACAGTCCTCGATTACGACAAGTTGGGGAAGAACGAAGCCATCGGCAAGATCTTCACGGGCTGCAACTCCACGGGCACGGAGCTGCGGCACTGGTCCGACATGCTGGCCAACCCCCGGCGGCCCATTGCCCAGTGGCACTCGCTGAAGCCGGAGGAGGAAGTAGATGCAGCTCTTGGGAAAAACAAATAGGAAAAATCTGCTGGCCAGCACGGCACGGGCCTGTGGACATTTTAAGTGACCCCGAGCTACTGATACCTCAGTTACGCAACCTTTGGTTTTGTTGTTTTTTGTTTTAAGCTGAAATACCCTTTGAAGGCTGTGGAAGGGTTTTCAAACAGTCCCAATAGCTTCAGGGGAAGAGGTGAAAGACATGGATTTATTTTTTGTTTGTCAGCATCGCTCTGTTCTGCTGCATGTCCCATTGCCTCCCCTCGCTGTCCCGTCCAGGGTGCAAAGCAACCGTCAGTCCTGGGGCCTTCCCAGGTCGCAGCATCACCAGCCCACAGCAACGTTTCCTCCATCCTCCTGCTTGGGTTCACACGGGGAACCGTCGAACATTGCATGGAGACGATACCAGAGCCTGGTAATGTGAGATGACCAGACCCACTGTGCTTGCTTGGGGCATGCAAACCTCCGTGGACATCAAAGCGATGGAGAGACCTGGATGCCTCCCCTCTCTTGCTCTGCCTCCCTTCACCCTTCCTCGTTGGGAAGGGACAGAGACCTGGTGGTAGGATGAGAACTCCTTAGTTCCACAGCCAGCTCCAGGTTCAGCTTTTTCTGCTGGGAGTTGCGCAGAGCTGGTGGGAGAGGCGTTGAAACAGCCCCGCGTGGGCTGATAGCCGGAGCACCGGTGGCCCTGACGCCCTGCTTGGAGGAGCAGCCTCGTGGGCTGTGCACGGCCACCACCTCCACAGAGCGCTGGCCTGCGCCAGAGGCCGAACGAGGACAGCTCTGGGGCAGTTTGCATGCATGTCCCGCTGTGCTTTGCACTGCCACGTGGCTTCTGAAGACACTTGATAAAACCCAAGGATCCAGCTGTTTCTACGAGGAAGGTTTGCACCGAGAGGTCTCCAGGCGCAAGGACGGGAAGCCGGCAGCCCCGTGGTGCAGGTCTGAGCTCGGCCCTGTGCTTGACACGAACCGCGGCCATTCCAAAGGCCAAGCGCTTGTCCCCGTGGAGCTCCCACCGCACCGTGATGTCCCACCACCGACGGCCACATCGGTGCCCGTGGGGAGGGTGACAGCGAGGCCATGCACAGCAAGGGACCAAAGACCTGCAAAGGCCATCGGGCAGCTGCTCCACACAAAGCTGTTTGTTAGTTGCCAAATGCACCCGTGTCCCTCTGCCCCGGGGGGTTTAAGCCATATCCACGTTGCTAATGTCAGCCCTGGTTGGGAGGAGCTGCTCCAGGCTGCCCCGTCCCCGCGGCTCCTCGCTCGTCCCGCACCCAGTGGGGGCTCCCGGCTGCCCCCGGCCCCTGCTGCAGGCGGAGGAAC